TACATTGTTTCCGATGAGAGTTCCAAAGTTAGCCTGATGAGATATCCTTTGTAAGTAATTTGACATTTCTCTCTTGCCAATGTTAATATCTTGTCTCTGTCTGTGGTTTTGGCCAATCTGGCTTTGATGTGCCTTGAAGAAGATCTTGGTTTGATTCTCTGTGGGGTCCTTTGTATTTCTTGGATCTGGATCTTTGCATGCATCTCTAGGTTTGGAAAGTTTTTTCCAGGAATTCATGGAATAGATTATCAATGCCCTGACTAGGTTTTTTTTTTTCCCACCTTCTGGGATACCAATTATTTGGATGTTTGGGAACTTAATGGTTGCCAGTATTTCTTGTATATTATTTTCCATTTTGAGGGGTTATTTTCTCATTCTTTTTGGTGAAATTTTCTAGGTCAGCAGTTCTGACTTCTGCATCTGAGATTCTATTTTCTGCATGATCCAATCTGCTTTTAATACTTTCAAGGGAGATTTTGATTTTCTATTTTACAGCCTTCATCTCTAACTATTTCATTTTATACTTTTTTATAGTGTGCATTTCCTCTTTCAGGCTGTGCAAGAACTTCCTCATCTCCTGGAACTTGTCGTCTTTTTTCTCCTGCATCTTCTGGAGTTCATTATCTCTCTTCTCTTGCATCTCTGTTAGCATTGTCACTATGAATATTCTAAATTCTTTATCTGAACTTTCCATGAGTTCTATTGTATTGTCTGTGGAGGATGAGGAGTTGTTCTTTTCTCTTGTGGGAGAGATATTTTCTTGGCTTCTCCTTCTTATGCCTCTGGGTGTTTTCTGGTCACCTGTTGGATTATAGGGGTTTTTTTTCCTACTTTTTGGAGTTAAATCTGAGAGTTCAGATGTGCAAGAGGTGTTCTGCAATCTCTCTGAAGTTCCATTTTTATTCCTTTGGGCAGTAGATTCCAAGGGAATTGCGGATTACTCTGATCCTGCTAGATCTTAGAGTCAGAACAGTAAAGTCTGGGCAGAAAATCTTCAGTGTCCTAGTCCCTGAAAGGGGCCACTCAGAGCTCAAATGCAGATGGTTTATGATTGGCCTTTCTAGATCTTGGGATCAGGATGGTAAAGTCTGGGCAGAAAATCTCATGAATGTGCATTTTTACTAAGCACCCGAATTGATTTTAACGCAAGAGGAGCTCTTAATTACATTATACCTATAGAAGCAAATGTTTGTAAATTTCTCACACATTTCCTAACTGGGCTGTAAATTCCCTGCAGGATATGCTGTTTTCTAGGCCTTGGTATCTCTTGCATAGCTAAGAGCAGGACCTTGCCCATAGTCATTGTCCAACAATGACTAAACCTTAACGAAACAATTTAGAGCTCCAAATACTCAAACCTGTTCACACACGGGGTCTCTGCACCTCTTTCCTGACTGTATCTTACATCCTGCATTAGACTGGGAGGCCTTAAGAATAAGCACTGGCTGCCCCAGTAGCACAAACAGGTTCTTTTTATCAGAGCTACAAGAATATGTAGAGACAACCTCATTCTACTTCTTTGTAGAATGCAAGCTGAATGTAAGGAGGAAAAATGACTTTCCTAGCGTTACATGCAATTCCCTTAAAGAGGATCAGCAGTGGCGTCTCCTCATTGCCAGGACAACAAATTCCCCACCTCACAGTGCCTAAAGGAAGCAGGAGTGTTCCATTTAGGTGGGCTTCCTGGAGGAGGTGAGCAGTCCAACAACCTCTCATTTCCATTGACAGAAAAAAGAGTTTTGGTGAAGAAGAGAAAACACTAGAGTTTATTCTGGAACTCACAGACAGAGAAGGGAAGGGCACTGTGAGAAGCAGGGTGTCCCAGGTAGGCCGTAACATCATCAGACTGTAAATATTTGACCCTGTTCCCCATGGATATAGAGCTTCTAAGACCCTTCTGCCTGTGCCTATCTCGTTTTTGGTTTTTTTTTTTTTTGGAGAGGTTTTGTTTTGTTCTGTTTTGTTTTGTTTTTAGCTACAGGGAGCATGCGCTCACCAGAGACAGAAAGTGAGAAATCACCCCCCGGGGGGATGGTCATGCCACAATCCCTTCTCCTCCTCCATTCTCCTCTCGGGATCTTAGGCACACACGCACATGCGCCTGGCGTGAGTTTAAGCCACTAGGCCCAGAACTCGAACCGCGATTGACTGACTACATGGGAGTCCAGCGATACAGCCATTATGCTAACTGCTGGTCCCCCTATCTCATTTTTGAAGCCCAAAAGTTTATTAACAGATTTGGTGGGAGGGGTGTGACTCAGATTCTGGACTAGTCCATGACACCTTGGAGCAAGGGAAAGCCTGCTCTGGAGTCAGCCCCTCACTCCATTAGCAGACATTATTCATGCCTCAGGCCTGTGTCCCCTGTCAGGCACAAGGCTGGTTTCACTGTTGGCGTCCTACATTCCTGGGTGGTGCGTACCATCTCACGTGGGGCAGAAGGAGGAGTTGGGAACCACAGAAGGGGTTAGAGGCTCAGACACTGGCAGTCTCAGGAACTAAGGTGGCTGGGAAGAAAAGTTGCCACCCTATCTGCTGCACTGCTTTTCTCACAGTTCACCATTACTGAAACCTTTGAACAGTGCATGGACTGGAAGGTGAAGGCCTGGTTTCTTTCTTTTTCTCTTTTCATTATTATAGGGCACATGTGCTCACCAGAGAGACAGAGAGAGAGAGAGAGAGAGAGGGAAAGTGAGAAATAACCCCCCACCCCAGAGGGTATGGCCACATCACAATCCCTTCTCCCCACTCTCCTCTCAGGATTTTGAGAATGCACACATGCCTGATGAGTTTCCCAAGCCATTGGGTCTGGGACTTGAACCGCACAGTTGAGATCCAGCACTTTAACCACTATGCCACCAAGTGGCTCGGCCTGGTTTCTATGTCCACCTGGGCTATACCTGTTCTCTTACTTAAATGGAAAGTTCAGAGTCACTGACTTCAAAAGCTCTCTTCCAGCCCTAGATGTCTGGGACACTAGTCTCTGTTTAAGGCTGTATTCTGTTCATGTGATGTGTACACCCTAAAACAGCTGGGCCTTCATAGTTCCTCCCCTGGCCCGCACCTCACCTCCACAGATCTCTGCCAGAGCTATCTCCCAGCACCTCTCAGAGATATCTCTGCCAGCTCTGGGGACAGAAAGAGGGTCAGAGACTCAATCAAGACCTCACCAAGGTTTTCAAGCTAGAATGGAGAGAGAAAATAATCCTCTGGAATTTTCTCCCCCCTCAGTTTTAGGCCATTTGAAGCTTACCCTGGCCCACCCCAAGCTACCAACTCCCATGTGGACAACTCTGGCCAGTCGAACACCAGCCTCAAGGGCCAGTCCCACCTGGCCTGCCTGCCCCGCCAGTAGTGAACTCCCAAGAAGCACCAGTCAGGTGACAAAACCTTTCACACGAACAGGCTGAAATAGTCCTCCACTAACAGGAAAAGGCTACTTGGTTGGACACCTATGGATAGAGGCTCTAGGGGGCCACTAACTGGGAGAAAGGAAGGGTCCATTATTTGCAGAGTGTGATGGGACTGTCTGGGGGTGGGGGGGTTCTGTGAAATAGAAATTGGTTATTTTGGAGGCTGCTTTAGTCCTCTAGAAACATCCCCAGATGTTTTCCTCCAGCCTTGCTCAGTGCCCCATGGGGAGATGTCCACAGGGACATAGGGGGGCCTTGACCTATGCCAGTCTGAGAGACTGCTGCTTGAAAACCCTGAGCAACAGACAACTCATGTAGGTACTCGGAAGCTGAGCTAGTTTCCCTCAAGGAGAAGGGACTTCAGCCTTTCAGAAAAGGGAAAGGGCAGGGGCCAGCTCTGTGGTCTGGTGGTTAAGGGAGCCAGATCCCACATGGCCAACTGTGCAATTCAAATCCTGGCCTTGGTGACTTGAAAAATATACCAGGCACATGTGCATGCATGCCCCAAATCCCAACAGGATGGGCAGATGGAGGAGAAGAGATTGTAGTATGACCATGCCCCACTAAGGGGTCTCTCTCTCTCTCTCTCTCTCTCTCCCTCTCTCCCTCTCTCCTTCTCTTTCTATCTCTCTGGAGAGTGCATAGGCCTTCTAGCAAATAAAAAGGAAAGGAGAAGGACAGTGTTGGGAAAGTCCTTCTCAAGAGGAGTGTTTTTTTCTAGGAAAGAGAATTTTCCACAAATCCTCTACCTACCACATCTACCCCCTGGCAATACCACAGCCTGAAGTCAAGCGAATACTCTCTGAGAACATTACACCAGTCCCCTGCCTCTGGGGCTAGCCCTAGCCCATCTTTCCAGAGAAATCATCTGGGATTCACTCAGCGACACTTTCCTCATGGCAATGTGCTCCTGGTCAGGAACCCCTCTTTAACATGTCCCCATCTTATTTTTCTTTTTTAAAAATTATTGTATTTATTCACTCATTTATTTTAATTTGACCAGAGAGGGACAGAGAGAGAGAGGGAAAGTGAGAAAGCAAACCACCAGGTCCAGGACTCAAACCATGGTCAGCCATGGAGTGTCCAGCACCCTAACCACCACACCACCTGCTGGTCCCCTCCCCATCTTCTTTTTCTAAAGCTACCCACTTTTGCCAGAGCTCGAAATTAAACAGACATCCCATGGTATGAATTGCAAACAAAGTTTATTGTGCAGACACCCAGACACAGCACTTCAGAAAGCAGACTTGACAAGATGAGCTATGTACACGGAAACACACTTCCCCGGGGCGCTACCAGGGGATCCCCGTCGGGAAAAGGATCATCGAACAGGTAGTGCAAGAAGACATGGGGTCCAGGAATGGGGCACGGTCGGAAGCAAAATCTAGACAATGCAGCTCCCTCCCTAGAACAAGTGGGGTTCTAACTAATTGGATTGGAGTGAAGATCTTTCAAAAACTGTACGCAGGCATCCTTTCCCCCCAAAATGACATCAGAGTTGGATGAGAGAATTTGACCTGCCATCAGTTAGAGGTACAGAGACAGGCTTCTAAATTTTGGAGTGGGAGAGTTAGTGATAACCCATTCTTATCTAAAAGAGAAGGTCACACTGGAACCATAGCCTTCACCTGAACCAGAACCTCCTCCTCCAGAGCTAGAGCCTCCTTTAGAGCCACCTCCAGAACTGTATCCTCCTCCAGTGCTGGAACCCCCTCTGGAGCCACCACCAGAGCCATATCCTACTCCAGAACCAGAGCCTCCTCTAGAACCACTTCCAGAGCCATGTTTTCCTCCAGAACCACCGCCAGAGCCATAGCCTCCGGAGCCAGAGCCTCCTCTGGAACCACCACCAGTGCTGTAGCCTCCGCCGCCGCCACCTCTGGAACCGGACCCTCTGCCGCTCCCAGAGCTGTATCCTCCTCCTCCTCCAGAACCAGATCCTCTACCTCCAGAGCCATAGCCCCCAAAGCCAGACTTGGATGTTGCATTTGAAGAAATGGTGCTGCTTGTCACAGCTGCAGAGAAACACAGTGTTACCACAAAAGTTCTGGCTGCCCCTGACCACACACCGCCCCATGGAACAGGACCACAGCCCACCACTTACACACAGTCACGCTGCTGCTGAGGTCTCCGGACATCCTGTCAGGGAGAGGGCGAAAATGTCTGTGTCAGAGCTCTTGGGGTCGGGATGAGTGCCATTTTAAAGCTTCCATCAGCAGAGGTGCAGCTGAGCCTCCCACATCAGCCACTAGGGCTTACAGGTCCCACTTTCGTCTACACCGCCAGCCAGATCACTGCTATGGTGACGTGCATGGCCTCGCATCTCAATCTATCTCAGTTTTTCGCTCTGATAAAAATAAGCTGCTGCATGATTGATCTACAGTGACTAAAAACCAAACTCACTTCTGACTTTGCAGCCTCCTTTTGCATTTAAATCCGTCTCAGGGAGTCTGATATTCAGAATCTATGCCATGCCAGAAATTTGAAAGAGGGTGCCCTGTGAACATTCATCTCAGAAAGCGCTGCCATTCTGTACAGCCTCCTTATTCCACCCTTTCCTGCCCTCTTCAGCTTCAAATGAAATCTTTCCCACTTCTTCTCATAGTCTGGGGAGGGAGGCAACACCTTCCAGACAAGTGCAGAGCTACAGCCGGAGGAAAGCTGGTCCCTCTGTCATACGGGGTTGCTGGTGGCCTGGGGTAGCTTTCCCCTTCCAGTTGCTTCAGTCATATTGTCACCAAAGATGCCAATAACACAAAGTTCTCAGACTACAGAGAAAGCAAAAGGGCCCCCTTTGAAGGGTAGCAGATGTTCTATTTGTCACTCCAGAATCCTGTAGAGAACTGGCTCTGGCACCTGCTCAGGTAAGCATGCCTCAGCCAGTCAGCACATTCTGACACACAATCACCCTGTTCTAGGTCACCTAGTGTGAGTAAAAGAGACCACTCACCCTGGGGACCAGACAATGTTTCACACTATCTAGGACCAACCTTCTTCATATCGTTTTGTTTTTTCTTTCAGAGATTTTAACTTATTGCCAAATTCAATTTAATTTTATATGCCTTATTAGTCATTGCATCTTGATAAATGTGCTCTATAGAAATGCCTCATGCCCTGAATTTCTGTTTGAGAACATAGTGACTGTCAGCTCTCAGCCCCACCTTCTGCTTTCCTCACCTTTGCCTCCAGCCCTGCATCTAGGAGAAAAGAGAGGGTAAACCAGGCTACTCTTCCTCCCAGCGCCACCCACCTGCATTCCTCGCCCTCCAGCAGCGTGCGGTAGGTGGCGATCTCCACGTCCAGGGCCAGCTTGGTGTTCATCAGCTCCTGGTAGTCCCGCAGCAGCCGGGCCAGGTTCTCCTTGGCCTGCTGCAGGGCCTCCTCCAGGTCTTCAAGCTTGTGCTTGGCATCTTTCAGGGCATTCTCTCCCTTCTGTTCAGCATCTGCAATGGCTTCTTGTACACTCTTACACTGTGAGAGAAGCAGGAAAGGTTTCTGTTTGCACAGAGTGGAGCAGAGGTGTTCCAGGTACGGGTAACTAGAACCACTGGTGCTGGAAGTGGTGGATTCCCTCTAGAGTTAATGCAAGTTGCAAACAATATGCTAAGATTTACTGCTATCTCTGGGGCTTCTTCTTCCCAGGTCATTTTTGGACCCAAAGGCTTTTCCCATAAGCCACTTTGATCCTTCTAACACAGAGCCAGAATCATTATCCCATTTTATAGATGCAAATGAAAACATTCAATGCAGATTGCTTGCAAAATTTCTGCTGTTTGTGGAATCAACTCTCTGTTCCCACATTATCTGTTCTAAAGCTAATGTCCAAACCCAGGTCAACTCCTGCCAACTCTCACTGCCTCTCCATTAACCCACTCAGCTGGTGCTTGGCACCTATGTCAAGCTCAAACGGAAAGCTCTGACTGCAACCCATAGTGAGTCAAACTAACTGCTGCTTTATCTGTTGTTGCCCCCTTTCCCATATAAATAATCAAAATGTGAATACAATTCCTTCCCTTCACTAGTCCTCAATCCTTGGAATGTTTCTTAGGCTACTCTATAGTTGTTACCAGGTTTAAACTATGCTGAGTTGATGTAGCTTAGGGTCATTATATGCCAAATGAGAACTTCTTGGCTCCTCCTGTCTGTGTCACACACACTCACACATACCCAGATACAACCTTCATCCCACCTGGAGCTTCACTCAACCAGTTGCACTGGACCCATCATGAGAGCCAGACCTCACCTGCTTCTTCACATGGGCGATCTCCCCCTGTAGCCTCTGGATCATGCGGTTTAGTTCACTGATCTCCATCTTGGTCTCTCTCAGGCTATCTCCATGTTTTCCAGCAGTGGCCTGGAGCTCCTCATACTGGCAAGGGGAGAGGAAGACAGGTCACAGGAGGGTTCTAACCTGCAGGAAGCTTTACTTGATCCAAAGGAGGGCTGATCACTGGTCCAGACTCAGCCCAGCTGAATGTAGTAGCTGCATGCATAGAAGGTGAGAGACCGGTTCCCATCCCCAAATGACTTGTTGCCTATCTTGACACTCTTTCTTGGGAATAATGCCTTACTTCCAGTAGGCAAAACCACCAATGAACTCACTGCATATTTCCAGCTAGTCATAGGCACTGGATCTCCCTGCCTGTCCCACACTTGCCTTGGTCTGGTACAGCGCCTCGGCCTCGTCCTTGCTCTTCTTGGCAATCTCCTCATATTGGGCCTGAACCTCGGAGATGATGCTGTCCAGGTCCAGGTGCCGGTTGTTGTCCATGGACAGGATGACGTTGGTGTCAGTGATGCTTTGGTGCACCTGGGACAGCTCCTATAACACACAAGGAGATCTGGCCATGATCTGCCTGTCCACAACCACAGGCAGCAAAGGCTTCCCTCCCTGATGTTGGGGAAATCACAGACTCTCAGACTAGGCCTACCCTGAGCAGGACTTAAAATGAGAGAACCCTATTCCTAGGCCTCTCCCAAGATTGTCCTGAGAATTGCGGGCCGGAGAGTCTGTATTTCTGAGCCTCCTAGCTAACAGTTTTCATCACTTATGCCAGTTTTGACACACACCCGCAGGAAGAAGCTGACTATGCAAATATCTTAGTTTTAGAAACTATGCATGTGCCCTTGGACAGAGAACAGGGGTCAGTAGACCTATTGCACTTTGGCCCCTGAAATATATTGGGCATAGGAGAAGGCTTTCCCGAAGGAGAACTGGACATCTGATAGATGGAAACAGGGCATGTTGTCTTTGTGTTTCCTGGACTTTACATCCCATGACATGGGAGGAGAAAATTCAGCTCCCCCAGGCACTAAATTAGAAGGCCCCTAGTGGAATAATGACAAGTCAAAGTCAGCCAGTCCACTACCCCAGTTCCCGCCACCTTCTCACCAACTGGGAAAGACTTTATTTTCTGTAGTGGGAGAGGGAAGCAAGTGTGTCCAGGAGCAATCTCCTTACCGCATTGTAGAGGGTCTTCAGGAAGTCGACTTCCGAGTTCAATATGCCCACCCTGCTCTGCAGATCGGCCTTGGTCAAGTAGGCACCATCCACATCCTGCAAGAGAGGTCAGAAAAAACTCATGCCCTGCCCCCAGCCTTGCATGATTTCCTGTATGTTCCCACCCCCTCTGCCATTCTCCTCCACTCAGTCGGTCCTTATTAGCTGCTCTTTCACATCCCTGGCACCTTATGGTAAGCCATGTCCCCAGTGAACTTCATTTGGCATGTTACCAACCATGCACTTCTGTAGGGGCTCCAGCTCATACACCCACCCCCTGCCCAGGATCTTTCAGAGGGTGGGACCAAGCTTTACCATCCAGTTTCTCCCTCCTGCTTAAGACACGGTATATTCCCACAGAGGGATACAAGGGCCTCCATGAGTTTTCACATTCCTTCCATCCTCTCAGCTTTCATGTTCATCTCAACCTTCCTGAATCTCTCTGGATTAAAAACCAAAGTCCCTGCTGACGTCAGGCTAAGAATTTACAGTTCATCCTCCCAGCTCAAAACATTGTCAGCACAAATGACAGCAACCTTAAGCAGGCGTTCTAAGGGACAGTTTCATTCCTTTTGCAGCTCTTGAGAAGAATAAAGTGCTTTCTGTGTTTGCATTTTTCATGACCCAATATAAGCTTTAATGAGCTAATTGATGGGAAATGCTCTACTAAATATACAGAACATCTCTGAAAATTATCTTCAGAAGCTTGAACTACAGAGATGCTTTTTTTTTTCCCTTTTTCCAAGAGAATCAGCCGCAGACACACTTCACCCTTTTCTCCAGCTACGGCTATGTGCTCTCATAGCTGCTTTTGAGCCTGTCTGTTTGGGGTTGTGAGTGCCCCCCTTCCCACCTCCAACCATAACACGCTCTTACCTTTTTAAGTGTCACGAAATCATTCTCAGCAGCTGTGCGCTTGTTGATTTCATCCTCATACCTGTGGGGGCCCAGGTAAAATAGCAGTTAAATTAGTTCTTTTTTAACATTTTATTTGCCCTTTTCTACAGGATCCACACAAAATAGCCCATTCTCTGGGATTACTAAACACTCTTTAAATGTCTAAGTTGAAACTGTGACATCCCAAATGAGGATGGGTCTCTATAAATTAACTCTCCAATATGTACCCCCAAAATGATCTCTAAATCTCTAATGTCTGCCTCACAAATACTTGACAAATGTACAGACACCTCTTTCCTTTGTTACCATAAATGCAACTGGGACATGAATGGTTTTCAAGGGGATGGATAGCTCAGATCAGCCTGTATCTCCACTCCAAGTTCACTTGGACACCTACTTCTTCTTATAATCTTCAACTAGATCCTGCATGTTGTCCAGCTCTGAGTCCTGTGACATCCTTTCCGAAGAGAGCTTATCCACATATCTCTGGAGGTTGGCAATGTACTCCTGGAAGAGGGGCTCCAGGTTGATGGAACGGGTGCCCACATTCATTTGTTGCAGCAGCTCCCATTTGGTCTGCAGCACCTGGTTCTGCTGTTCCAGAAATCGCACCTGCCGCGACCAGAAGGATAGCAGGTAAGCTCAGGATCACCCATCACACGAGAAAGCCACACTTACCAGAAGCAGTTCTTGTCTACTTTGGAACCTAGAAAAGTCTACAAGACTTCACCCTCACCAGCTAGGTGCTGGCCCATGCCAGGCAGAGCTTCTGAGCTCCCTGCCTTCACACTCAGAAAGTTCCTCAGTCTCCTAATGCTCCTTCCAGCCTTCTCCATGCAGAAAATTCTCTTTCCTTCTTCACTATCCACTGTTTCATTTGCAGCTGCTCCCAAGACTCCAGGCCATTCCTCTCCCATCCTAATTGAATCCCTGCCAAATGTCCCATAAATTCTGGGCAAAACCAAAAGCAGGCATCTGCTGGCATCGTTCCTAAGGGTGCTGAGTATGAGAGTAAAAGAGGGCAGGGTTCCCTGACCTGGTTTTTAAGAACCCTGTAAATTCCTGCCTATTTCAAGGCAGATGAACTAAGACAGATTCATCTGCCTTGAAATAGGAGAAAACCCAATAAAACTCCAAAGTGACGATAGTAAAGACTTTATGGGTCACAAAACTACAGATGCTTCTCTTGAAGGCAGGAATTTCATTTATCCCCAAGCAGATAGAAGGAGTTGTCTTGCTAATCCTTCTGAATCCTGCTGTCACACAACTTGAACGAACCAGCCCATGACTCACTGATACCCTTTTTCCCTTGATTTTATTTCAGTTTTCCATAAATATATTGAACTAAAACAAAGCCAAAGAGACAAATAATTCCTAACTGCAGTGTTTTGAAAAATGTAGCCCACAAAGCTGGCATCTTTCCTATCTGGAAATTGCAAATAACCCAGATTACTCTGGCTACACCATCAGTTCCTAAAAGCAATGTGTCTGTGTTGCTTCCTTTGCAGTGAGCCCTGGAAGGGGGCCCTCCTGAGCATCAATAGGAGCCAGCTCCTCCCGATTCACCTTGTCGATGAAGGAAGCAAACTTGTTGTTGAGAGTTTTGATCTGCTCTCGCTCCTGAGACTTCACATTCTGGATCTCTGGGTCAACTTTCACATCGAGAGGTTGTAGGAGGCTCTGGTTGATGGAGACTTCGTGGATACCTCCACCAGGAAATCCTCCAGGCCCAAAGCCGCCAGGCCCACCAAAACCTCCAGGCCCACCAAAACCTCCAAAACCACCGCCACCTCCAAAGCGGCCTCCGCCAAAACCACCGCCTCCGAAGCCGCCGCCTCCGTAGCCGCTGCCTCCTCCGAAGCCGCTGCCACCTCCAAAACCACCGCCACCTCCGAAGACACTGCCACCTCCGAAGCCAC